AGACGACAGAACCAGTAACTGAGCTAATATAGATGAGGCAAGAATGCATAGTGTAAGAAAACAAAGGGTTTGCCAACAGTAACTTCCAACTATAAAGGCGGCCCTACTCCAACACATTAGAAGAGCTATCTGAGGTGGATTTTATTACATGTATATGAAAAGCGATCAAAATTTTCCAGGGTGGGCATTGGTCCTAGTGGGCATATTGATTCCCTCCACTTTTGAAAATAGATGCCACGCCTCTAAAAGGGTAGGTTTGTGATGGCTTCACATTTGAAAAAAGAAAGATTTTCATGAATATATTGTCCGTGTTAAGTTTAATCCGTTTATGAAGGTACGCACAACTTTTTTTTATACATGGAGAGGCATCATGACTACCCCCCCCCCACTTTACTATGGCTGCCACGCCCCTTAAAGGGTGTGTTCGCGATGGCTCCACGTCTGAATTTTTTCTTGGGATTATAAATGTCAGTGGGAATTAGCTTCATTCGTTTATGAGATGTGGGCACATTTTTCCCATGGTGGGTATAATGAGAACCCCGCCCCCTTTTTTCAATATGGCTGCCACGCCCCTAAAAGGGTGTGTTCGCGATGGCTCCACATCTTGAATTTTTTTGTCATGAATGTCAATGTCTGTGGAAAGTTCCATTTCGCTATGAATTTGGGAACAATATTTCCATGGTGGGCATAATGAAAACCCCGCCCCCCTTTTTTCCTAATATGGTTGCCACGCCCCTAAAGGGTATGTTCGAGATGGCTCCACATCTGGATATTTTTTCTCATGAATATAAACGTCTGTGGACGCTTATTTTTTTCATGAAATATGGGCACAATTTATTCCAAGGTGGGCATGATAATTACCCCCCCTTTTTTTTTAAATGGCTTTCACACCCCCAAAAAGGTACTTTTGTGGTGGCTCCGAATCTGGAAAACACTTATAATCTATATTATTATGTCTTTGTGAACTTTGCTTTTGTTACAAGTGGGAACAACCGTTTTCACTGCAGGCACGACAAGTCCTGCCCCCTTTTTTAAATGGATGCCACGCCCCAAAAAGGGTAAATTTGCGATGGCTTTACATCTAAGACAATTTCTCGCATGAATATAAACATCTGTACCAAGTTTCATGCTTTTATGCAAAAGTGCACACTTTGTTCACATATCCGCTGGACTAATAAGGGTGTACGCGCATAATGCCATTCGGCAAGGCACACGACGAGACATTCAAATGCATTGCTGAAAACTGATGCTCAAATTAATACATATGTATGAAATAGACCATAATCATGTTGTGGCCATCTGACTTTTTTCCAATTCCAATCAACGTAACCAAAGTGAGGCTGTAAGGAAAAACAGTCTGGTTCCTGTTTGCACACACACAAAATTTCAATCAGTACTGTTGTTGGATACATGTAACATGACTAAAATGGTGGCAGCATGATAAAGGTCTTGCTGTTGCTTGGCGCCATACGAACCACACGTGGTGTGTTGCCCCTCTCCTCTACCCTACATCCTCCAGTGGAGCCCTAATAACAGGAAAATTAGAGCATATACAAAATGCAAGCACTGCAATAGCCGGGACAAAGTGATGTAGCTTTTGCTGCCAACAGTAGACTTCGGGCCCGGGTTATAATAGTATTGCCCTAGTACAGTACGCGTTTTTCAGAGTGGGAAAAGACCTTCCCTTTGATAGGCTGCGTACAAAATCTATTCAATGTGGCCATGCGCCAAAACGACTCAGCAACACAAATAATACTCACCGCATTGATGATCCTTGAACTTAAATTCTTATATTCTTCTGTTGTAGAATTCAGGTAAGCATCGTCAAAAGTAACATTCATACCATCAATTTGAGTGATATAAAATGTTGCAGTAAAAGTTGTCTCATCTGAAATGCAGAAACCAGAAAACTATCTATTATTTAAGGTAGAAATAATTCCATGAGTTAATTCTGGGCCCAATTTCATAGCACTGCTTAACAGTAAGCAGAAAAGTTGTGCTTACTATAGCAGAAAATCATACTGCTGCTTAAGCACTATTTCATGCTAACGGTTGCACGCGCATGGATATTTCTATTGTTATGTCACTGATTTAAGCAAAGTTTTCTTCTGGGGTTAAGCGTGCTTTTGCTATGCTTACTGCTTAACGGTCTTTATGAAATAGATAGAGGCTCGGTAAGCACAAAGACGGCTGTTAAGCAGCGCTATGAAATTGGGCCCTGGTGACCTTAAGAACACAGGTTTATGTGCATTACAAAGGAAGCACGTTAGTGTTTGATTAGTGGCTCTTAACTCACGCGAGAGGGGGGCAATAAATATTTCCCCCCAAAACCTGTATTCTCAACATATTCTCGATTTATCAATTTTAGAGGGACATTTGCCCCCCCCCCCCCCCACCATTTAATTTACACCAATATGACTTTGCACCCCCCCCCCCTCGCGACGCCCATTGTGTTAGTGTTTGTTTTGTGGCTCTTAACCAAACACATAGACCGCCAGGTCTACACGAGCATTTCGTGATTTCGCGTCTCCCGACTTAAATCCAAACTATGGGCAAATTCACCTCTCGGGATTTTACACACACCCAAACTGTTCCATTAAAAGAAATATTCTATATAGTTATTTTTCGATTGTGGAAAAAATCCCTTGTGAACTTAATATGATTTAGGAAAATTAAAAAAACAATAACGTGAACAACTTTTTTCAATCGGATTGTGAGTGAACCAGCCTTTTGTAACTCAAAATTCAAAATTAACTCATGTCCTGTTTGTAAATACTGTACTAAGTGCGTATCTGCAATGAACGCGCGTCGCGCGATATTGCGTTGCACTATACATTTGCTCGATTTGCAATGCTCTCTCCGTTATACTTACTCCCAACGATTTCCTTCCTATTTTGTTGGAAATAGTTTCCTATTTAAAGTATAGTTCATAAGTAAAGTTAAGCCAATTTCTTTTTGAAAACATAACATGGAACCGATATTCACAAACTTTACGGTCGTGTCCAGAAAATGGACTTTTTGTTAACAATCATCCCAACTTTACACTTGCAATGGAACGCTCTCAATTGAGAGCGTTCCATTTCAAGGGTGACGTTGGGATGATTTTTTTGATCAAACACTTGTTTTGTAAAGGCCTTCAGAACACTTCGAATTGAATTAATTTATCATCATTATTTAATATTCATGTTTTGTAACAAGCCGTATATATGTCTGAGTGCTCCCCGTTTGCTATTTCTCAGGTGGACAGCTTTGCCAAATTTGCTAGCATCGTCACTTTGGATGATGTCCCTGATTTATGACTACATAATCAAACGGGTTTATTGCTAGCGCTCTGGAACAGAGATATTGGCTTATTGTGAAAGCCGCTATAGGAAAGGAAAGGCAGGATAGCTCAGTCGGATGTAGAACACCGGTACGGCACTTCAGAGGTCGCAGGTTCAAATTCCGCTCCAATCGATTTCGTTGCTACCAAATCTAACCTTGGGTATTTCATACTAAACCTTTCAATGCTTAGTCTTTGGGCAAGCACCGGTGTGCTTTTCAATCGAGCCATCCAACAGGCCCAATATGCAGGCGGTTTTCCCAATTTATTTTTATATTATGAAATTTGCATGATCTGCTATGGACACATGGGAAAGAATCGCTTGAACAGTTCTATATTAAAGGCCCGTTCTAGACACCGTGCTACTGCCATGCCGAGCTCAATTAAATATATTTTTTTTTAATTCGGCACGGCGATAGCCATGTTGCCTCGGCGAAATGAGTTCGGCACGGCAACGCCCTTTATATATTAGGGCGACAGTGCGCTGTCGTCGTTCCAAATAGCTGTATTGGTGTGGTGCCATTGCCGTGCCGAACTCAACTGGACACAACTGTCAAGCTTGTGCATACTGGCTCTATTTCATACTTAAAAAAAAAACTGAAAAACGAAACCATCAACTCTTTCAAGCTAAGGTGAATGGGTGCGCTCGGGTGTGTGGGTGTGTTTATTTTTCTAAAGCTGGAAAAGGCGCGAAAGATATTACATCAATGTCCCAAAAGTGTTTTCTTTCAGAAACCATCTTCCTGTGGGTTTTGAGTGAAGGTGTAAAATTTGACCCTGCGTCGTGTAAAATGTTACAGTGGGCTTCACGATAGTTTGGAAGTTGTGCCAACAAAATAGCGGGACATTGTTTGGAGAAACCACGTGAATTGGGTGGCAACGGCGAGTCGAGGGTCGCTACAAATATAACCCCGCCATGACGCGAGTGTGACGCCGGGCCAGCGGCTGGGTGTCAGAGTGTTGGCGATGTTAGCTTGATTATTGCCTTGTTACAATAGACACATTTTATACAGTTTCTGCGAAACACTTTGAATTAAAAGTAAACTACAAATCACAAAAAAAACCACTTTCATTGGATCGCATATATTGTAGAGTTTTTAAATTCGAATTAGTTCAGATTTAAAACTAATATATTTATTAGTTTATTCCCGCCCTCCATCTGAAATGGAAACGATTGTTGGTGGGAAAAAACACGCCGAAGTCGAATGATATTACAGGCTGAAATCAGAACTTACCCGCTGACGCTTGGATAATTACGACAAAAAAGCAAAACAAGTCCGCGAAGAGCGCCTCCGAACGCCGTCGTTGTAATGTATGCTCCCGCACTCAGTAATTCATTTACAGTATACTTAAAGTGCGCCCTCAGTTGTTACACTGTTACAATCCAGTTTCCAACATGGCTGAATAAACCAGGTGAGCTCGTTCCGAATTATATGTCAGAACCCACTCAATATCTCACAAAGTGGCGACGAAGATGTTTTAATAGACATATAGTATTGTCAGAGATATAATTACTCACCTGTAGAGTCAAACAATTGACATTTTGCAGTGATATTTGTGCTGTTTTTGGAGTGATTTGGGGCTCGTTTTTCACCGTGCAACTCCATAGACTTGCATCCGTCGTTCATTTGTTCATGCTTATACGTGAAAACATACGCGTGTACAGTCGGTGAACACTATGGCGTCGGGACTTATCGGTCGGATTGACCCATATAACAGCGATGAGGAAGACTGGCCAACCTATGTTGAACGCTTAGAACAATATTTTGAGGCCAACAACATCGCTAATGAGAGGAAAGTTTCAGCACTAATCAGCTTGATTGGTAGCAAAACGTATACACTTCTCAAGAATCTCACTGCACCTGAGAAGCCATCGTCAAAACCGTATGCTGAACTCATAAAAATCTTGACAGCACATCTTGCACCTAGACCCCTGGTCATCGCAGAACGTTTTCGTTTTCACAAACGCGATCAAAAGGAGGGAGAACGTGTCAGCACTTATTTGGCTGGACTTAGAAAACTAGCTGAACATTGTCAGTTTGGAGATTACCTGAACGAGGCACTTCGTGACAGATTCGTCTGTGGCTTGCGGGCAGGCAGCATTCAGAAACGACTGCTTGCAGAGGATAAACTGACACTGAAAAGGGCAACTGAAATTGCCACAGCGATGGAAACTGCAGCGAGAGATGCCATCGAACTTCACCAGCAGACAACTTCAAGTTCTGCTGTACACACTGTAGCACGACGCAAACAATCATCATGCTACAGGTGTGGCAGATCAGGACATTCTGCCGACAGTTGCAGATTTAAAGATGCAACATGCCATTCATGTGGAAAACAGGGCCACATAGCACCAGCCTGCCGCTCCAAACCTCGTCCCCAGGGTAGGCCTAATAGACCACAGAAAAAGCCCTACAAGCCTCAACCCAATCAGAAAGGGAAGGTGAAAACTATGGAGGAAATTCCAGACACCGATAACGAGGACGACAACATTCTGATTGCCAGGATGAACATTCACAATGTGGGTCATAATCGGTGTGACATGAGCACAGCTATCTGGGTCACGCTCCACATTAACGACCGTCCAGTAAAGATGGAGGTGGACACGGGGTCAGCCATTACATTGCTATCTATGGCTGACTATCAGAAATTCTTCCCTGGAGAACAGTTGCAGCCGACAAAGATCAAACTGCAGACATACACAGGAGAACAGATTTCTCCGGCAGGACTCCTGAATGCCAAAGTTCGCTACAACAATCAGGAGCACAATGGGAAGATGTACATCATCAAAGGCAACAGTGCACCACTTCTTGGCAGAGACTGGCTAGCTCATATCAAGTTAGACTGGCCAAAATTGTTCGCCATGACAACCGCTCAACCCCCCAAAATTGGCAACACTGAAGAAAAGCTGGACGCCATGCTGAGTGAGTACCCAGAGCTCTTTCAAGAGGAGATCGGGGAACTCAAAGGCATTACTGGGAAGCTCAACGTACGCAACAATGCACAACCGGTATTTGTGAAAACCAGGCAAGTTCCGTACGCTCTACGACCCAAAGTGGAAGCAGAACTGACAAAGCTCGAACGTCAGGGCATCATTTCGTCAGTAGAATCCAGTGATTGGGCAACACCCATTGTCCCCGTGCCAAAACCAAACGGGGGCGTACGCATTTGTGGAGATTTTAAGGTGACGGTCAACCCTAACCTTAACATGGAACGTTATCCGCTACCGCGAGTGGAGGATGTCTTCGCTAATCTCTCCGGCGGCCAAAGATACAGCAAGCTTGATTTGCGCCAAGCGTACTTGCACATGGTCATCGATGCGGAGTCCAGAAAGTTGCTGACTATCAACACGCATAAGGGTCTGTTCGTCTACAACAGACTACCCTTTGGCATTGCGTCTGCACCAGCCATGTGGCAGAGAAGCATGGAGCAGGTACTCCAAGGCATACCTGGAGTCCAGTGCATCTTGGATGACATGATCATCACAGGCCGCAATGATGAAGAACACCTCAGCAATCTGAGAAGGGTCCTTGACGTGCTGAAGGCCCGTGGACTGCGCTTGAACAAAGCGAAATGCGAATTCTTCAAGCGAAAAGTGGTCTTCTGTGGGCATGAGATAACCCATGAAGGCCTGAACAAAACCCAAGACAAGGTTCATGCCGTCAAAAATGCTCCACGACCAACCAATGTGAGCCAATTGCGTTCGTTCCTGGGCCTGGTAAACTACTACCACCGGTTCCTACCCAATTTGTCGACTGAGCTACATCCACTGAATGAGCTCCTGCAAAAGAACCACAAGTGGGTGTGGACCCCTACTTGTGAGAAGGCGTTCGAGAAGGCCAAGTCCTTGATCACAGCAGATGAGGTCTTGACACACTATGACCCAGACCTTCCAGTGAAACTTGCGTGTGACGCCTCACCCTATGGTCTTGGCGCTGTTATGTCACATGTCATGCCTGATGGTTCAGAACGCCCTGTCGCCTACGCATCACGTACACTGACGACTGCAGAACGCAATTACTCTCAAATTGACAAGGAGGCACTCGCGTTGGTGTGGGGAGTGAAGAAGTTCAATCTGTACCTATGTGGACGGAAATTCACCCTGGTGACAGATCACCAACCACTTACCTCTATCTTCAATCCCTCGAAGAGCACTCCTTCAACTGCTGCTGCACGACTTGCGAGGTATGCGATTTTCCTTGGTAGTCATGATTACACCATCGAATACAAAAACACTGCTAAGCACTGCAATGCTGACGGGCTATCCAGATTACCCTTGGGCGAGACTGTGTCTGAACCAGCGGATCCTGATGACATACTCCAGGTGTCCCAACTAGAGACACTACCTGTCTCCAGTAGCGACGTTCGCAAAGAAACAGCCAGTGACATTACGCTTGCCAAGGTGTACGATTACACCATGAGAGGATGGCCTTCAGACACCGATCCAAGCCTAGCAGCATACCACAGTCGCAGAAACGAAATCACAGTGCACGACAACTGCTTGATGTGGGGACTTCGTGTCATAGTCCCTGGCAAACTGCGTGCACAAGTCCTAGCGGAGCTACACGAGGGTCATCTCGGAGTAGTCAAGATGAAATCTCTCTCTCGAGGTTTTGCTTGGTGGCCGGGAATTGACCATGACATTGAGCAACTAGCCAAAGAATGCTCTGGTTGCCAGAAAACCCAACGTAACCCAACTCTGGCCCCACTTCATACCTGGGAATGGCCTGCGAAACCGTGGCAGAGAATACACGTCGACTACGCTGGCCCATTCTTGGGACAGATGTTCCTGGTAGTTGTGGATGCGCATTCAAAATGGCCAGAAGTGATCCAGACTACCACTGCGACATCAAGCCAGACCATTGACATCCTAAGGGGCATATTCGCACAACATGGTGTCCCTGAGCAACTTGTTAGCGACAATGGTCCCCAGTTCAAGTCAGAGGAGTTCGAAACCTTCCTGAAACGCAATGGGGTGAAGCACATAACTTCAGCTCCTTACCACCCAGCGACAAATGGACTTGCCGAGCCCTTCGTCCAAACCTTCAAGAATGGACTCAAATCGATGGAAGGGGAGAAAGGGTCGGTAAAGCAAAAATTGTGCAGCTTTCTCCTTGCTTACCGCAATGCACCACATGCTACCACTGGTCATTCTCCGGCGTTCCTTCTCATGGGATGAAACCTCCGATCCAGACTTGACATCATCAAACCAGACATCCGCCAACGAGTCGCTCGTAAACAACTGGAACAGTCAATCTATCACAAATCTGGGAAGACGACTCGAAACCTGCTCACAGGCCAACCTGTGCTCGCTCGCAACTACCGAGACAGTCAGAAGTGGATTCCAGGCATAATCCACTCCCAAACTGGCCCACTCGCATACGAAGTTCGAGTTGGTCCCGACTCCATCTGGCGCAGACACATCGACCAACTTCTTGATGTCGACACTGGGAAGCCCTTCTTCTTCAACCAGCAGCCAGATCCTGTACCCCCATTTGTCCCTGATATCAGTGACCAGATGACTCCCAATCGTCCAGTACCTACTTCACCAACACATACACCTACCGACATCCAGCCCAGCGCAGAACAACCATCTGTTGTACCCGAGACAGCAACAGAACCACCTAGAACTGAGAGACGCTACCCCCAGAGGAAGCGGAAACCACCGGATAGACTGGATCTCTAAACCCCATACACACATAAGGTCCCAAAAAGGCTTGGGTAGCCACTATACTTGTGTTCTATACTTGTGTTTAGTAGTTTAGTGTTCAGAGCATGTGTTAAAAGAAAAAACAAGAAGGAACAAACAACCCAAACTCTCACTTTCATGAGTCCAAAAGACAACAGAAAAATGACACTTCACTAGTCAAATAATTCCAGATCAAAAAGAAATTTGCAGTTTATTACGAACAAAAATCATTGATAATTGTTTTGATATGCCAAAAGCTATTGCAAGTAATATCTCATGTGAACCTTGAATTCAACAATTTTGAACTGGAAATTGAACTCTAATTATCATGTGAACATTTATGGACTTTATTGCAGTTCCATATTTAAGTGAGGAGGAGATGTAATGTATGCTCCCGCACTCAGTAATTCATTTACAGTATACTTAAAGTGCGCCCTCAGTTGTTACACTGTTACAATCCAGTTTCCAACATGGCTGAATAAACCAGGTGAGCTCGTTCCGAATTATATGTCAGAACCCACTCAATATCTCACAGTCGTTGACGCATCTTGCTCGCCCAGGTTGGCCGGCGATGACCTGGCTGCCCTGATATCCCGCTGTATCATTGTCAATTATACGGTCGCATTATTGAAGAGAAAGTCTGCACTTACCGCTAGTTACTGTTGTTTGACATGCCGCTGGGACTGTTACGAGAAGAAACAAAAAGGCCGCGAAGAGCGCCTCCGGACTCCGTCGTTGACGCATCCTGCTCGCCTGGGTTGGCCAGCGATCGCCCTGCCTTGAAATTGGCCCTGAAATCCCGTTGTATCACTGTCAATAAACGGTCGGCTTGCGTACTACATACAGGCAGCACACTGCTCCGAGATCAGTCTAGGAGCGGTCTGGTAATATCATCGACGTGACATGTCGGGTATTGGGGCTCAGATCGGAAGGCCCCTCCCCTATATCTGTGATAGACAGCTCGGAGTGTCATTGTCACGCATGTTCAGTGCATTGTAACTCCGATTCGTTTCAACAGTCTTTTTTTTCCTTAAAAAAATCACGACGTCATAGGGGAGCCAACTCGAAAGGCCTGGTACATCAACACAAGGTTTTTTTTCTCCGATTTCACATTTGCACTTGATGGCGCCTCATGAAAAAAACAAGTACAGACCGTGTCCATTATTTTAATAGATAAGCATCGAAAAGGGCTGACTTTCTTTTTTTACAAAAATAAAATAAACTTAAGGGACTCAGCCAACGTGAACACCTGATGAATGGCGGCCTACACCTTTTAAAACTCATGACCATTATCCAAGTTCGGTATTATAGCTCCTGTATTTCAACAAAACTTAGCCATATAGGCCTAGGCCCTCCGTTTTCTGTTAACCGCGTGTTTACATTATTAAGCCACATGTAGGCTAACTCGTTTCTAAACGCATTTGCATTTTTTTCTCGGCAACTGTTCTCAACAGAACTATGTAAAATGATGTCTTCCTGTACTAGAACGAAAGAGATATTTTCCCTCATATTTTTTTCCCAGGATGGGCCATAGGATTATCCCCTCGTTTTTAAGTCTTTGTTCCGCTATGGAAAATATGATCGAACCTGGTTCGCAGGATCAACTTTATCAATCTCGATAAGTAGTAAACCCTGGCAGGGCAATATGCCTCCAAGTACTCCGCAATAGCAAGCAATTGACTTATAACGTGAACTTGATGATTTTATTTCAAACGTGTATCACGCAATGTAACGTTCATGGCGATTTATTAAAGACAATCGTCCGTTTTTCCATTTTGCTTATTATATAAATGTAATACTGCATGTTGCATGGGTAAGATTCTAACATTACAGCTTTGAGAAATCATGTAGGCCTATTTTTCGATCTCTACGAAAGCCCATTAGCGCCACTGTAAGTATATATGTTGTGGATTATTTAATTCGTTATTACGGATTAATAATTCGTTATTACGGATTATATATAATTCGTTATTACGGATTACTAATTCGTTATAACGGATTATTTAATTCGTTATTACGGATTATTAATTCGTTGTAAACGTTGTATGCAAAGATAGCGCCGCCTAGCGGCGCTATATACACAGGCCCCTGGTCACGTGCTCTCCACGTGTGAGAACATCAGACCTAATTCGTAATAACGAATTAATAATCCTTAATAACGAATTAAATAATCCGTAATAACGAATTAATAATCCGTAATAACGAATTAGTAATCCGTAATAACGAATTAAATAATCCGTTATAACGAATTAATAATCCGTAATAACGAATTAGTAATCCGTAATAACGAATTAAATAATCCGTTATAACAAATTAATAATCCGTAATAACGAATTACATAATCTGTAACATATATACTTGCAGTGGCGCTAATGGGCTTTCGTAGATCTCACTCCACGACGAATTGATTTCATTTGTACATCGGACAACGCGTACGTACAGCAATAAACAATTATAGCATGGCCATCCATGCTTTTAATATAGGTGGCGGGAAAGGTGTTTACGAGGTGTCAAGGGAGGTAGGCTGCTACGGTTGATTTTCCACAAAAGCTCGGACTCAGGCGGGATAGCAGCTAGTTTGGCAGCGTCCGAGGTTGCGCATGATTAAACACATAATTATAGACCGAATTTGATATTCCTGTCCTACAATAAGTAACACTTTGTGCAAGGGGTCCATTGTATCATTTCCAGTCTGGGGCCCGTCAGCAAAGAGATTCTCCATTGTGGTTGTGGTGGTTATTGCACTTTATCCCACCACAAAACAGTACTTGTCTGGGTTGCCCATACTTTTCATGGTTGACTGGCGCATGCGGGATTGGCCAATAAGGGCCATTCTTGTAGATTCGGATGAGACAAGACACACTAAACGTGGGTACAGAGTGTAGGCATTTTCCGTTGAAAAATCAAAATTTGTATTTTTAACTATGCACACCTCTAATGTAAAAGCTCTCTGGGGTATCTGCTCTTCCTATATTAAGCATAGTACAAGCCTCTTCCCTTTTTTTCGAGTGCCCGGGGTTATTTACTCCACCATTTTCACAGATGATTCTGCTCCAAAGGATAGAATTCAGACGGTGTGGGGTTGTTTATGACAACGCGAACACTAAGCTCGGGTTCAAAAGTTTAGCGTAAACCCCCATGCTATGACTCGGCCCCAGGCTTTTAAAATATTCCTGGCGCGATATGAGTTTTACCGCCCCGTCCAAACCTAGACGTTTACATGAGTGAGCCAATATGCATCTTGATTTATCTCACGTACTTACATTCGTGTTGTCACCCTTGTTGTGTGAATAGTAAAATCTTTTAAATCAGGTATTTGCTTTCAGCGAATCAGAGTTCAAAGTTTTACCGAGCAACGCCCATGCAATTTGAATAGCATAAGGCTCGGGTATTCATATACCGCACTGGACCTTAAATAACAATTTACAATGCATAAAAGCTTATCCTGGAAGTAGGTATTACATATGAGAGAGCACAATTTGTGAAAATTTACTGAAGGCAAATTTTCGTTCTACGTACGAATGCATTTGCTTGGACCCCCTTCCCCCGTGTACGCATGTTGTGCGCAATGTTAACAACCCCTCCTCTCTCCCCCATTCGTGCATACATACTTTGTGGACGGTCCTTGTCAGGGTTGCGCGTAATGGCGGATCCGGGATAGGCCAATGGCTTGGGGCCTTTTTGTATGCAGATTTGGATAAGTCGGAGCAAATTTAACTTGGATGCAGCAATTTTCCGTTGAAATAAAAATATGCATTTCACCTGTCCACGTCTCTATAATTAAAGCTCTCCAGAGGCAAATTGTCGCTCTACGTACTTATATTTAGCATATACAAGCCTTGATCTTAACTTTATGTGTTGCTCGGGGTTATTTGTTTTTCTACAGGGCTTGGCTTATGTCAAACGTCGAACTTCTGCCGTGTCTAATTTAATTCATTACAGTTGGCAAATAAGCGGCAGAAGTTCGGCAGTTGCTTCAAACGTCGACTTTCTGTTGAACGGAATTCGGTTGTTCCACATGGCGACCTTTTAGACATGTCCATGAGCGCCATTTTGTTTAAAAAGCCGAAACATGAACAGCCTGAGCAGGCGCATGCGCATTTTAAATCGGTATACCACTGCGATTCGGATTTTTGCCGTTTGAAGCCGTGCAGATCTTTTGTCCCTCAGAGCGGCAAGACATGTCGAACTTGCGACAGGAAGCCGGCAGTTGCTTCCAACGTCGACTTTCTGCCGTGTCTAATTCAAATAATGTCAACTTTGGGGCCAGTATTTGAATTAAACACGGCAGAAGTTCGACGTTTGAAGCGGGTTATAAGATCTTCATTGTTAATGCTTAGTAGGATTTATTACATGACTGCAATATTATTCTGTCACTGTCATATAAACTCTACCTTTGGTCACGGATGATTCCGCTCCAAAGGATGGAATTCAGTCGGTAAATATTTGGGTTGGTTTTCACAACGCAAACACCAGGCTCCGGGTTCAAAAGTTCAGCATAAACCCCCATGAAATTTGAATGGCTCGGCCCTTAGCTTTTCAAATTTCCTTGCATCGCAATTGCATATTAAGGGCGTCCCTTTTAATTCTATGGTTGTCATATTATTTTGGCCTTGAAGGAGGCTCGGTCGCTCGAAATAAATTTCTGGGGTAGAAAAAAAAGTACATGCTGAATGCACAAAAGGGTAAATAGAATGACGCAAACTATTGAATATATGACTGTCTCGTTCTGAATTTGCTTTTATTTCCATCATTTCAAAATAAATCAACCCAATACTCTGTTTCGGTATTCATAACCCTGTTATGTTCAACAAAATATGGGTCTATCGCTTGAAGTTTCCGATCTCGTTCAGTGGTGCACGAACGAAATTGTTCGGCTTTATACCTGTATTGGTGATTTTGAAGCCCCGTTTGACGTTCATGGGGCGGCTCCCCGTGTCAACCCCCATTATCTCAAAAGAAATAAATTCTGTTTCTTCACATTCATCTTCAATCCA